ATGCACGAAAGCCGAAAAAAATTATGCTGCTTGTGCCTATTGGTGCGCGCACTATCTAGCACACTTGGGCTGGCAAAAATCTGTGCGCGCGTTTTAGTCGACAGTCGAAACTACATATTGCACTATCATGCTAGTAAAGGGCTGGACTTCTTCTAGAAAGAACCTCAGCAGATCTAAAAGTCGCCCCCTATCCCTTGCATGCCGCAAGAAGACAAAGACGACTTCGGTCTGGGCCTCATACCAATCCCCTTTCGCGTATTTTGGCGAGGAGTCATCTATGAAAGCGCCAGAACCGAAATTCACTACAGAGTTGCAATAATTTGCGACACATGATAGAATCGCTACCAGTTAGCAGCCCAATCTCTGAGCGGCGCGTGACAAACTTCTGCAGCACCCAAATCCGGTTTGCCATGCTATAGCCGTTGAGGCAAAAATGACATCTGTTATCATGCTCCTTCGGTAGGTGTATCTCGAGCCCTAAAGAGGCCTAGTACAAGCGGCCTCACTTGCCTTCTCTGCAAGACAGGCACTTTTTGCCTCGCATATTGTATAATTATGCCCATGCAAGTTTTTCAACTTTGTGTTTGTCAACTTCGGTCCTGACGCTTCCATAGCATTTTTCCTCTCAATACGTGAGGCTCGGGAAAGCCCACACACTCGTGTCCGCGTTCAAAAACCGAGAGCCCTGGAACATACGGGAAAGCTATCGCGGAGGAGATCCCCCCTCCCCAGATTGAAGCGGCACGCTTCTGAAACTTCGTCACACTGATTCGCGGCTACCGATCGTGCCTGTCTTGCAGGGGGGCAAATCCAGAAAGTCCGCCGCATTGTGCAGGCGGTTTGTGATGCTTGCTGTTACTAGAGCCACAAGGCGTCGCGCGTCCGTCATGCTACCTCAGCGCCTACCTCAGAACATCCCTGCCCAGGCTTTGCGTCTGCCTGCAGTCCCTCACACACTGCAAGACGGGGCTGATTCGTGTACGCAAATTCCGCATCACTGATTTCGATTCAAATACTTACGAGAAGGGGGGATTTTTCTTCTTGATAAAAGCGTCAAGGCATTCGGCGCCTCAACGTGTCGAAGATTGTCTAACCCCAGCCAATTCCCGTAGCTTCCTGTGTAAAAAAGTGCCCACCCTGTGAATATATACGAGTACAGCTTCTTGCCGCGCTAAACAGACCGCGGCGCTGCCCTTATTTCTGTCTCTTCCTCCAGGTCCAGCATCGACGACGAATTACGCGTAGCATGCTTGGCCTTTCCATGTATCTATGTGCAAACTGTGGCCGCGGTAAGTGGCTGTCACGCAAGCAAGCTCTGTCATGCCGACACCGAAATGCGAGCATCCTCAACATCTACCGGCCACCGTGCCAACTTTCCAACAGGAAATCATGCAGCACAGCATCGCACTCACTTACTTGTGCCCAAACTTGCCATGCCCAGGCCCATCTCGCAGCAGAGTTCCTGAATTTATGTGCGCTGGAGGGGCGTGGCTCGCGTACTTACTAGTACCTTCTTCTCGGGGCAACATGAAGGTTATTTGGGGCTGCTCCACAGGGTGGGGACGTTTTCGCACAGGATACTTCGTTAAATCTGAACAAACTTCCCACATCCGTGACGGTGGACGCCATCAGCCGCCGCACGGACGGCAGCTTGACCCCCGGTTCGAAGCCCTCAAACAGAGACGGCGCGGTAGCCAAGGAGTCCAGAGACCACGCCGAGCTTGCGGAGGAGCCAAGGTCTCCGAAGTTACCCTGAAGCTCTCCCTTGTAGGAACTCATCGCCGGTCGCTATTCTGAATAAAAACGTCCCCCCCCAGAGTTATCATGCAAATCTGCATGCCAAAAAAGTTCCTCGTGCGGAGCTCCGTGGGAACCACTTTCATTCTAGTCGTGTTTTGGAATTTTTCATGCTACAATTATCAGCGTCATGCGCTAGATCTGTGACGCTTCGGAAGTAGCTCAACAGGGTTACACTCTACAGGGACAAGCTTGTCATGCGAAACAACCAAAGCTGGCTGGTTTGTCGTAGCAGATTTCCCATCTTGACTATGGTGCGAGGACATTTTTACTCAGGATAGTCGCAGCGTGGAGGTCATCGTCCGACTCGTCACTCTGATCGGGGTATTCAACAAAGACTGCAGCTGCTGCAGACCGTCGTGAGCGTAGGCGTAGTCGGCGCTCTTTCCACCTGTGTCCGTCGGCCGCCCCGCTGTAGTGGTCTTCGCACTCCCGGGTATATCCAGTGCCGTCCGAACTAGAGAGAGGTCGGACCTTGCTCCGAGAAGTTGTTGGTGGTCCATCGCAGGGAAAAAGTGTTTACAGCGACACGACACTTGTCGCAACTTTAGCAACACAGACTTGCCCTGCATTGCAGAGATGAAAACTTGCCATGCAAAGATCCTACGGGACGAAAACACGTATGAAACGAGGCTCGCCATGCCTTTCCAGCATGAGAGAGGTTGTCTGTCTTGCACGTTCTGCAACACAATGTGTAACTGTAAAACGCTTTTTTCGTTGCATATGGTCCATCCCTTGTTCATTCGCCGTTCTTCCCCGAGCCTCATACTCCCCGGACAGGTGGTTTGCAAAGAAAACTTGCTCGTAGGCAGAGCCGTCGCTGGCAAACACGAGCGCGCGGTTTTCTCTGGGCATTGGCATCAGTGCTGAGGAGGTGGTGCTCGCCGGACTCTCCTGGAACAACGCTGGCCTTGCGAAGTAGTCTTGTGAAGCCACGGCACCAGCAAGGTGGCTCAGCGGGTACGGAACACCGCTGGCGGCACTGATCGTATGCTCACCTCGTCCCCTCGCGTCTGGTCCTTGGATGCCGAGGTCGGACGGCAAAAATGTTCGGCTGCGTCGGGTACACTCTCCGAAAATTTTCACTTCGTTCAGCTGCAGCCTCCGGCCGATCGTGGTTTTCCACTGGCGGTCTGGTAACTCAACAAACACGTAGCGCCCGACCGCAACTCCCGGCGGGCAGAACGCCGTGAGTTTCCACATAGGCTCGGCCGCGTCGGCAGGAAGTCCCGCAAAACCAACGCGCTCGAAGCCGTACCGCATCGTCCGCAGGACCCGAGCCGGGGATATGCCGTACCTTTCCACGCCTGAAGCTACCTCATTCGCCCCGGAGGGGTCCAGGCTAAAGGATCCGCACCATACCACCCGTCCGCGAGGAGCGAAGCCATCTCCCTCGTCCTGTCCATCTTCGTCGTGCCTCGCCGTGGACTGCGCCTGACCCTGCTGCGACTCCAGATCCACCTCGCCAGCGGCACCAACAGAAAGTGGCTGTCCTCCCTCGTCCCCCAAGACAACGTCATCGATATTGTAGTGCGTCATCGGGTTGTAGTTGTGACAACCTGAGCTGCCGAATGCACAACTGGAGTAGTATCAAATGCAAATGCGTGTCTGGGTCTGGAAGAATGCACGTTTGTCATGCTTGTCATCTCACATCATGAGTCTTCAACTTGTCAGTAACGCATGAGCAGGAAAAACGTGTCTCGCATGTATGCAAAAATGCAGTTTGATGCCATGCGGAAAGCAAAACACATTGGAGTCCAAAACGTTGTGGAGGTGCGTGGCTGCGTATTGCAGTCGTGCGTCCAGAATTCACAAACTAGCATCACACGCTTTCATCCCACACCAAGACATATTTGCAAAAATGCATAAGTTGGAAACCCCAACGATGACACGCGAATTCGGCGTCCAGGAGTAGGCCTGCTCGGTCGTGCACTCTGACAGACCATCCATGAAGAGTAGGCACGGCTTTGTGGTGAATATTTCAACGCGCGTGATCCGCCTCGGCCGATCATAGCGCCCTGCCACATTCATTTGGTACCATGCAAGGCGGATGAACCATTTGGGCACGTACGCATCCGTTCGAGTCGTACTGCACTCCGTCGTGTGGTCGCCGTCGCTGCAGAGCCCCGCGTGGTTCATCATGTGGTCCGTACTCAACTCCGCGGGTCCAAGCAAGCGAATCTCGTTTGACAAAACGCGACTTCTGGTGGTCGTGCGCAGTATCCTGAGTAAAAACGTACCCACACCAGAGTTGTAATGCAGATTTGCAAAGACAGGAAGACTTGTAATGCGCATCCGCATGAGAGCCATTTCCAATCGTGTTTTGGAATTTGTGATGCTGTGAACAGGATGAGCAGATGAATCTGTGATGCGGCTGCACTTGCTAACCTGCACTACACTGCAGAGTGCAGCTTGTCATGCGTGACTCACAAAACTCCTAGGCTTGTGTTGCAAAATCCCCATCCTGACTCTGGTGTGGGTACGTTTTTACTCAGGATACGCAGCAGTTTTGCGGTAGCCGACGAGAGAGAGCCCCTGCTGCCATCCTCTGCCACGACCGATGCGGGCGGCGAGGAGGTTGTTCTTGGGGTACTACCTCCAGACCCGCCTGCTGGTGCAGATGAAGACCGGCCGGAGGTAGAAGCGACCTGATTGGCTGGAACAAGGGGTAGCACTTCCTGCTCCTCGAAAATCAGATCGGGCAACGCGTTGGAGTACGGCTGCGAGACCGTGCGATGCTGCACAGAATCCTGTGTGCGGTAGAAATACGTATTCGCAGCGAGGCGGTCGGCCCCCTCGACGTCGCTGTCGCTGAGGCGGTCTGCCTGCAGGGGGTCCTCACAAATGGGATGGTCGGGGGCAAGATCAGGATTGGTGAACCCATCGCTGATCCCCTCCGCGCGAGCCTTCGCATACAACACCCCTCCAGAGTCGAGGGGCGTTAGCCCGGCCGCACAACTGCGAAACCTCTCGCACGCAACGCCCTCCGCTACGCGGAAGAAGTTGCACGCCAAGTCCTCTGCGCACTCCGCCGCACATGCGCTGTAAGTGTGATACTCTGGCAGGGTGTCAACGTCGGACTCGATCTTGTAGGATTCGACTCGGTCGTTCTCTGGAGCACAGTTTGCATTGGTGGCCATGCGAAGGAAAGAAACTCCTACTCCCAACACGTCGTCACTGGTGAAAGAACGAGTCTTCGATGAGCGCGTCGACCGCCCTAGCGGCACACAAGCCTCCAACACCGTTCCCGGGTCCGTAGTAATGCACCAGATTATCAAATGCAAAAATGTCTGGGTCTGGAAGAATGCAAGACTTGTCATGCATGTTTATCATGACCCATGATGCCTGTAATGCTTGACCTAGCATCGCAGACTTTTAGAGCGCTTCCTGAACCTTATACACCTTCCGCATGAGAAATGCCGTGTCCGTGTAGCAACAACGAACTGTCCCCCTTTTGCTGGTCACGCAATAGAATTTTTTTTGGATTCCAAAAACAGAATGACAAGTTGCAATCTTCCCGACCCAGACATTTATTTTTGCAGTTGATACAGATGCTCGTGTACCCATTCGGGTTGCGGCAGAAGTTGTGGTCTCCGAGTCCTCCGTCGCCATCAAGATCAGTGCCGTGCGTGTGCGGAGACTGCGCCGTCCACTTCTGGCACAGCCTTCCCGTGATGGTCCGGGTCTGGCAGCCACGATAGGTCGCGCCGCTGTCCAGGGTGGACATGCTTTCATCGCAAAAAGTGACGTCGGTTCGCGGCAACCGCAAGTGCGGTGCGGTTTGCAACTGCAACTGCAATTTCCGCGCGCGATCGTAGTGGTCCACCTTACGCAGGTAGGGCATCCCTAGTGGATTCGTGTCCACATCCTCGAAGTCGAAGGGAAGCCCGAAGACTTGAATCTCGGCCACGGCGAGACGGCGAAAGCTATCGGCGCTCCTTTTCTTGGCATTCACCCACAGGTACCTCCCCTTCTTTCGGTAGTACTTACAATTGGCAACGAGCCGACGCGGTGTCGATCGGCGGTCCCGCATACTCACCAGAGAGGGACTCGTTTGCACGGACGGAGCCTGGTCGAGCAAAGACCGGCGATTCAGCTCGGAGAGGTCCGCTCCGTACGAGTGGCCAAAGTACTCCGTTGGAGAGTACGACACATCGTTTCCGCATCTGCCCCGCGCGTCGCTTGCCACCAGCAGGTCGAAGCACCCCCTTCCGGTGTCATCATCTGTTCCTGAGTAGCTGGAACCAGTGTCCCCGCACACAGGAATCTTGGAAACGCCGGTTTGGAGGGGTACGGTGTGTGTGGGGTCTACCCAATCTTTCTGCGCGCAAGAGACCTCGCCAAAATCCCGGTCCACGAACGAGAGAGTGCTCTCGCCTTGTGTGTCAACAGCATCGGAGAATGCGAGGGTGTCGCGGCCACGGTGGCTAAAGAGGTCGAAACCGCAGTCCGGCTGCCCAAATACGTAGGCGTACGAGACGGTACGCAGTCCGCCCAGGTCGACCTGTATCCACGGACTCAGTTCCGGTGCCGACACTGCTAAGCCCGCGTACCCGTGGAGCAGACCGTCGATCGCGTTGCGTGCCCGAAACCGATCCAGGGCCGTGGTTCCGGCCTTCGTATGGCGCGTGATGTCTGTGGGGTCGTGCCTCTCGTCCAGCATATTTGCCTTCTATCAAATGTAAAAATGTCTGGGTCTGGAAGAATGCAACTTGTGATGCTGCATTTGGATTCCAAAAAAATCGAGCAAGAAAAAGTTTCGGGTCACACCATAAAATTAATTAAATAATTACAAAAAATGAAATTAAACGCAGCAATTCATTATTTACCACAGCACGCCCCCGATGGTACGGCGGGCCTTGTCGGCGCCTCCGGGCCGCAGCGCTTTGCCGGCCTGGCAAAACCAGGGGCCGGCGATTTCGCGCAAAATCCATGCGGCTGGTCAGACGCTTCCACGCCGCCCCAGGACCAGCAACAAGTCTGGGCGCCGGCCAGCGCCTTGCCGCTTCCGGGCGTCCTACGCGCGTAGGGAGCCCGGAAAAGCCCCGCGGCCTTCTTTTTTCGGGCGCCCTACGTACAGGCGGGCGGGGCCGGCGGACCAAAAAGTCGCGGCAACCTTCGCCCGGCGGTAGCTTAGCAGCTGTCCCCCGAGCCCGAGCCAACCGGCCAACCCGCTCTGTGATCTTCGTCACGGCGAACTTTTTCGCCAAAATCGCTGGGCGACAATTTCGTGGCCCGTCCCCACACCTGGCCAGACGCCTCCGCCCCAGCCATGAAGTCAGCCACAAATCCGGACGACGGGAACCCTGTCGCCGTTTCCGGGCGTTCTACGGGCGTAGGGGGCCCGGAAACGCTCGGCGGCGTTCCGGGTGTGATGGTGGTCACCTGGCCAATTCTACGGAACGGCCGCGAAACTGTCGACCCCGGTGATCACGCGCGGGCGCCTTTCGGTGATGGAGGTGATCACCTGGCCAAGTCTACGGAACGGCCGCGAAACTGCCGACCCCGGTGATCGTCGTCAGGCCACGCGCGGCCGCCTTTCGCGGATGGAGGTGGCCACCTCGCCAATTCTACGGAACGGCCGCGAAACTGTCGACCCCGGTGGTCTTCGTCAGCGGACGACGATCACGCGTGGCCGCCTTTCGCTGATGGAGGTGATCACCTGGCCAATTCTACGGAACGGCCGCGAAACTGTCGACCCCGGTGATCGTCGTCTGATGACGCGCGGCCGCCTTTCGCTGATGGGGGTGATCACCTGGCCAATTCTACGGAACGGCCGCGAAACTGTCGACCCCGGTGATCGTCGGTCGTCAGATCACGCGCGGCCGCCTTTCGCTGATGGAGGCGATCACTTGGCCACTTCTACGGAACGGCCGCGAAACTGTCGGCCGCGAGTGGCCTTCGGTAGCAGACGACGATCATCATGGTCGCCTTTCGCTGATGGGGGTCGGTGATCACCTGGCCAATTCTACGGAACGGCCGCGAAACTGTCGACCCCGGTGATCGTCGTCAGATCACGCGCGGTCGCCTTTCGCTGATGGGGGCGGGTGATCACCTGGCCAATTCTACGGGACGGCCGTGAAACTGCCGACCCCGGTGATCGTCGTCGGCGGACGACGATCACGCGCGGTCGCCAGCCTTTCACTGATGGAGGTGATCACCTGGCCAATTCTACGGAACGGCCGCGAAACTGTCGACCCCGGTGATCGTCGTCAGATCACGCGCGGTCGCCTTTCGCTGATGGGGGCGGGTGATCACCTGGCCAATTCTACGGGACGGCCGTGAAACTGCCGACCCCGGTGATCGTCGTCGGCGGACGACGATCACGCGCGGTCGCCAGCCTTTCACTGATGGAGGTCATCACCTGGCCAATTCTACGGAACGGCCGCGAAACTGTCGACCCCGGTGATCGTCGTCAGATCACGCGCGGCCGCCTTTCGCTGATGGAGGTGATCACCTGGCCAATTCTACGGGACGGCCGCGAAACTGTCGACCCCGGTGATCGTCGTCAGATCACGCGCGGTCGCCTTTCGCTGATGGAGGTGATCACTTGGCCACTTCTACGAAACGGCCGCGAAACTGTCGGCCGCGAGTGATCGTCGTCAGCGGACGGCGATCACTTGCGGTCGCCTTTCGCTGATGGAGGTGATCACCTGCCCAATTCTACGGAACGGCCGCGAAACTGTCGGCCGCGAGTGACGGACGACGATCACTCGCGGTCGCCTTCCGCTGATGGAGGTGATCACCTGGCCAATTTTACGGAACGGCCGCGAAACTGTCGGCCGCGAGTGGCGGACGGCGATCACTCGCGGTCGCCTTTCGCTGATGGAGGTGATCACTTGGCCACTTCTACGGGACGGCCGCGAAACTGTCGGCCGCGCGTGATCGTCGTCGGCGGACGGCGATCACTCGCGGTCGCCTTTCGCTGATGGAGGTGATCACTTGGCCACTTCTACGGGACGGCCGCGAAACTGTCGGCCGCGCGTGATCGTCGTCAGCGGACGGCGATCACTCGCGGTCGCCTTTCGCTGATGGAGGTGATCACCTGGCCAATTCTACGGAGCGCAGGATAAAAAGAAAGAACCACGCGGCCCATCATAATAATGACGAGCAACGCTCTATGCTAAATAACAACGCTTATTCTACCAAGTCAATAAGTCAGCTACTAGGTCCATCTAATTAATTAGTTAGTCTATGACTACTGTTGACTAGAGCTTTAGCACGCCGCAGTTTATGCGTGTTCCAGCTCCTCCGCGTTGTTCCATCGATCTCGATCTCAAGCACAGTAACGATCATACGCTCCTGTTTAGCTTAGTCGTCTCGTCGTCTCGTCGTGATTCCGAAACGGAACGAATCAATCCATCTTGAAACACGTTGAAACGCAGATGTGAATCAGTGAGAAGTTCTGAATCATCTTCAATGAAACGATGCGAACTCGACCGCTCTTCGTATGCTTATCGATGTGTTCAGAATTCCTAACATTCATTCTGACTCACACTTGGTGCCGCCGGTGAGACCGGTAATCGCGAGCCAGCACACAACTTCGCCATCCACAAGTCCAAATTTTTCCGTCGGAACCCCATCGGTGTTTGCAAGAACCAAAAATCTTTGACTGGAATCAAGATTCTCGTATCCCGACGGTATGCCGACGCTAGATCGAAAGATCATCTGCCCGGAGATAAAGAACTCCGAGGGCTGGACGATGTGGAAGCATAAAACCAAATCGATGATGAGCATGGTATTGGAATTGGACGCACATTGGCAGGCAATTTTGAACGACAACACCCAGCAGACGAACTTTCAAAATGTTCAGCCTGTTTTGACAGCACAGCAAAAGCAAGATGTGTTTTCCCTCGAGTCCACATTTTTAAATGCATTGCAAGACGACGCAGCAAAATTGATCACGAACAGCCAGACAGTGGGTTTTGTAAAGTGCTACTTCCTTCTGTCATCGCACTGGGATCAGAAAGCGTCTCCAATTGACAGCGACACCACTAACAACGAACTAATCACTGTCTGCTACGACATGGAGAAGGATGGAGATTTTTCTCTCTGGATCTACGCCGAGAAATGCAGCAAAATCATCCTTCTGCAAGACAGATACCCAGATGCTGCTGCGATCAGTCGTCAGATGTGGGATGTCCTCAAATTCCGACTTGGCCCGACTTGCATGAAAACAATCATGGCGGAAGTCAGAAACTTGAACAATCCAGCTGCGACTTGGGAGAAAGAAGGAATTGCGATGGTGGTCGATTTCATTAAATCCGGCAGAATGAATATTGAAAAAGAACAACAGGCGACTTTGCATTTAGCACGATCTAACGTCGCCCCCGCAAACGCAAACCCCAATGCGTTTCTTGCTGGTGCATCATCATCATCGTCTTCTTCTTCCAACAAAAATTCCAACTTCATCGTCGCACCGGAAGGCGCGACCTTCGAACAGCAATTGATGCGTCAATCCATCAATAACCAAACCGCCTCAGTTATGATGAATAAGGGTCACAAAGGACAGGGAAAACACAACAACAAAAACTACAACTCCAATACCTATGCGAATCGAAATCAGCCCTATGGTAACAACGCGCAGAATCAAGGAGGCCTCTGGTGTACGTATTGCCAACGTCCAGGACATGATGTTCATTACTGCTATCGCAAGAAACGCCAGCAGGAGAAGAAGACTGCCCCACCACCCGCGAACAACTACGGCAACAACCACAAGAAGGGCGGTGGTGGTGGCAA